ACCACAGTCTGGAACCAAAGCTCCAAAGGATCTGATATTCTCTTCTGATCTCTGAGGGTACCCACACATACATGCTCATGAAAACACACACACACACACACACACACACACACACACACACACACACACACAGAGTGAATTAAATATCTTATAAAAAAGAAATCATTAAAGAGATAATGTCTACACAAAAACAAACATTGCTTAGAGCATTGGTTCTCAACCTTCCTAATACTGCATCCCGTTAATACAGTTCCTCAGGTTGTGGTGAGCCCCCAACCATAAAATCATCTTTGTTGCTACTTCATAACTGTAATTTTGCTACTGTTATGAACAGTAATGAAAATATCTGATATTTCTGATGGTCTAATGTGACCCCTGTGGAAGTATCATTCAACACCCTCAGGGGTCATGACCTGCAGGGTGAGAACTGCTGGCTTAAAGAAGACATAAATATTATTTACCCATAATAAAAAGTCTTCTCTGGAGAAGCTACACCCCTTTCAGGCAATGAGAGTGCAGATGATTCCTTACCATCATCTTACACACAGGCCATCATTTATCAATAACAAGCAATTCAAACTCTTATTAATGACCTTGAGGGGTGAATACTGATGATAATGTCTTCCTAGTTTTGTCTGAGTTACTTCAAACCCATTCTATGATTCAGGGCCTGTCACTGAATTACACACTGTCCCAAACAGTGAAAGTACTTAGATCTCTTCTGTCAAGGCACATTTACGACCTTGTGCCTGAGAAGTTTCACTCATATAAAACTAGGAATAAGAAGCCAAGGTGTCAATCAGAACGGCTATGTGACACCCGGGGATACCTGGTAACTGGTTTGTCCCTAAGACCTCAAGAGACTGCAGGGCAGGCAGGCCAAGAAGCAGCTCCTGTTCTGCTGCGCTGAGCTCCAGTCTGCACATGGAGCACTTGGTGACAGAGGTCTTATTCAGCTCCAGAGCTGGGCGGATGCTTTCAAGAAAGCCACTGCTGTGGTTCAAATGGAGCTCGATATTCTGTGATGCTGAGATTTCCTTTAGGACCTGGAGCAGTGCTGGGTCTGCTGGACCCATGTTGGCTACTCCAACTTCCAGCCTAGGGATCTTGTACGGCTTGGGAGACAGTTTCCAGTAGCCAGCACTGATGTTGGGTGGATGCTGGAGTTTATCATTCATAAAACTTCTCATTTTAGCTTCATTTTCAGATATATTTTTCTCCCATTCCTTCATATGTTCAAAGGCAGATGCATAATCCTCATCTATGGTTGGTGGCTGTAATGTTTCAAAACATTTTTCCATGACTGAGCAACCTGCTCTGGGTGGCATTTTATTTCCATTTATGGAGACTTTTACACTCTTCAACAGTGTCAGACTTTCTGGGTGGTCCCCAAAGTACTGTAAATTCAGTACTTTCAAAGCCAGTGTTCTCCCTCGAAGGAATTGCAAAATAAATGGAGAACATACAGCCACTGTGTTGCTTTCATAAGCAAAGTTTAGAGCAATGCTCAATAGATGTTCTGAAA